GTTTGGATTTGATATCCCGCTTTATCACTACCCAAGGGAGTCTCAAAGCGGCTAACATTCTCCTTTCCCTTCCTCCCCCACAACCAACATTCTGTGAGGTGAGTGGGGCTGAGAGACTTCAGAGAAGTGTGACTGGCCCAAGGTCACCCAGTAGCTGCAGGTGGAGGAGCGGAGACACGAACCCGGTTCCCCAGATTATGAGACTACCGCTCTTAACCACTACACCACACTGGCTCTCCAGAGCCTTCTGGATCAAGCCAACAACCCGTCTAGTCCAGCCTCCTGTTCTCATAGTGGCCAACCAGATGCTTCTGTGTGAACCCCACAAGCAGGATCTGTGAGCAAGAATATGGTACTCTCCCCTCCTGCAGTTTCCAGCAACAGCACACGACCTGCACCAGTTGGGTACCACCTCAAGCTGCCTATGGCCTATCCCAATCCACTTATCATGAAGTCCAGATCATATTGTTGATGGAGGGGTGATAGCTGAGCTGGAGCAGGGGGCTATTTTCTTCCCCTCCTGTCCCTTTCCCCCTCCTTTTGTATCATGTCTCTCTCTTTTTTATTGCAAGCTGCCCTGGGAGCCCTCTTGGCTGAGGAGCAGGGTATGAATGTTGTTGGCTTCCATCTGTCTCGAGAGACAACGGAGTGCGCCTCCGGGGTGAAGACAAACCACTGTGTTAGCAGCACTGAGGTGACCTCCCAGATGGCAACACACTGATGTGGTCCAAAGGAAAGCAGAGCAAAGATGTTTGGCACTGCTGGGCTGCATGAGTTGCTGGAAGGAGGCCTACAAGGCACCACCCAACCATCCTAGGGGATTTGTGCAGTTTACTCCTTAGCTTTGCCTTGCCTTGCCTTGCCAGCAGAGGTTTAGGACTAGAGCTTTCCTTCTCCTAGAAGGGCTACCTTCCTAGGTTGAGGAGCCCCACCTGCCCCTCACTTCCCTCTACAGCATATGCAGAAACAACCTTCTTGATTGTTTGGACCCATTCTTGGTCTCACCCCGCTCCATGCGCTGGAGCCTGTCTTCACATACAGGGGAAAATCCCTAACTCACTGAGAGTTTGAGACCCATCCAGCTCTCCTCACCTGGCTTAGCCTGCCGGTCAAAGCCATTCCCAGGCTGTGGCTGCTGTCACATGCTGACAGCTTCTAGGAACCACAGGTGAGAAATGAGTGCAGGGTGGGGACCAAAGGCAGACAAACTACCTAAGAAGGAGCATGACATGTACAACACTGAGGCACTACTGCTCCCCAAACCTCATACGCCCCAAGGTACAAAAGTGCTAAGCAAATAAATCCTTTTGGATTGCAAGAAGCAACTGTGTTGAAGGACCACCCTAAGCTTCTTCCTGCTCCCACTGACAGCTACCCATTGTGGGATGTGGGTTTTCCCATTTGGCAATGTCCACTTTGAGCTGCTTTGGCCCAGAAGCTCTTGCAGCCATTGGAGGGTTTGCAGAGCATTCATAGGTATGACTTATTCCGTGATGCAAGGAATGTCACTGTGCTCATGCTCGGGTGGATACATTATTCATTTCCTGCCTATCAGTGAGCATACAACCAAACACTAAAAAAACCCGAAGTGTTTTTTAAGACCATGCAAGCTTGATCTCAAACGCACAAATGCCCTTTAGGTTTCTTTTTTTAAATTTCCCGACCTGTGTCTGGGACCATGTGAGGCTAATACTTGTTTACTAGAAATGTTGGCGCACCTTCTGTCTCCTTCCCGAAAGCCTTTTTTGCATGAGGCTCAGGTTACAGTTATGCGCAAACTGGTCATCAAAACAACACAACAAGAAAATCCAGCCTCCCTTTTGTAACCCATCTATTCCTCTCTTTTTCTTTTCCACCCCTAGGCTGAACAAACATGTGTATCTCACTGACATGAAAGTTAGCTTGGTGGATGGCTGCCTGTCCACTGTTTGGGACTTTTTAGTTCAGAAAAAGATAAGTAAGAGGTGACAAGGTAAAAGTTTGTAAAATTATGCACAACATGAAGAAAGTGGATGAAGAAAAGTTTTTCTCCCTCTTCTCCTTGTGGATACTCAATGAAGCAGAATGTTGGAAGATTCAGGACAAATAAAACAAAGTACAGTGGACGCTTGGGTTGCGAACGTGATCCATGCGGGAAGAACATTTGCAACCCGCAGTGCCGCGTCTGTGCATGTGCGGGTTGCAATTTGGCGCTTCTGCACATGGGCAAAGTGTGATTTAGTGCTTCTGCGCATGCGCAAGTGCCAAAACCCGGAAGTAACCTGTTCTGGTACTTCCAGGTTTGGTGCAGAGCGCAACCTGAAATTGCACAACCCGAAGTGTCTGTAACCCAAGGTATAACTGTACATGTACATCTTCACAAAGCGCATAGTAAAACTATGGCACTCACTCCCACAGGAGGAGGCAGGGATGGCCACCAAAATTCATGGAAGAGAAGGTTATCAATGGCTGCTAGCCACAATGGCTCTGCTTTGCTTCCTTGGTCAAAGGCAATAAATGCTTCTGAATGCCAGCGGCTGGGAGGGGGCCGCAGGAGGGAAGAGTGTTGCTCTTGTGCTCAGGGCCCGATTGCAGGTTTCCCCCTCAGGGGCATCTGGTGGTCCACTGTGAGAACAGGATGCTGGGCTAGGTGGAATCTGATACATTGCTTCTTTCAGAGACTTGCATAGTCTTCAAAGACTTTCAGAGACTTATAAGACTTATGTTTATTTGGTTTTATGTCTTCAAGAGAATCCATTAAGAGTGCATATTTTGTGACTTTCAGAGATTCATAAGTTTTCTGTTTATGTGATTTCATATATTTCATATTATATAAAGAGTGTCTATTGATATCGTATCATTGTATTTGGTCATCATGTTGCCTTGGATATTACTATCTTCCATCTGACAGCCCTTCAGGTATTTGAAGATGGCTATTGTCTCTCCTAGGGACGTGGGTGGCGCTGTGGGTAAAAGCCTCAGTGACTAGGGCTTGCCGATCGAAAGGTCGGCGGTTCGAATCCCCGCGGCGGGGTGCGCTCCCATTGTTCGGTCCCAGCGCCTGCCAACCTAGCAGTTCGAAAGCACCCCCAGGTGCAAGTAGATAAATAGGGACCGCTTACTAGCGGGAAGGTAAACGGTGTTCCGTGTGCGGCTCTGGCTCGCCAGAGCAGCGATGTCACGCTGGCCACGTGACCCGGAAGTGTCTCCGGACAGCGCTGGCCCCCGGCCTCTTGAGTGAGATGGGCGCACAACCCTAGAGTCTGTCAAGACTGGCCCGTACGGGCAGGGGTACCTTTACCTTTTATTGTCTCTCCTATCAGTCTTCTCTTCTCCAGGCTAAACATCCTCAACTCCCTCAACCTTTCC